CCCTCCCCCAAGCAGTGCATCTGTGTGCGGGAGTGCGTCTCCGAATAGTTCCTGGGTGCTCGCCGGAGACGTCTCCGAATATCTTCTGCCTCATTATGGTCTTGCAAATCTTGTTACCGGCGTTTTGTCTCTTCCACTAACTTTCTTAATGGTTTACTCAAGTGGAACCTCGTGAGTTCTGACCTAAGCGTGTCTTTTGGTGCATGTGGGTGGCCTGGTCTCTGGTGTGGTTTGCTCCTACTTTCCCACCAAACATCTATCATCCTTATCTCCCCGCGTTCTGTTCTTTGTTGCTCTCTAGAAACACCTCTAATCTTCTGCACGTACGTGACCTAATTATGTTGCAAGTGCGCAAAAATCTTACTAAAATGAAACTAAATCTTTTCTTCATCCATTTGAACTCCCTCCTTGCCACCGGTGGTTGAAATGCGTCATTGACAGACATCTACTATTTCACTCTCCCTTTGTAGTGTTTCTGTCTGTCTGTCTTGCTTTTCACCAATACTAAAGACTAATTATAATTAATGTCTGTTGATTATTGCGTCGCCGTGACTCTTTCTTTACTCAAACAAAAAAAAAACACTTTTGAATCCTCGTGCCCCACCTCCACTCATATAATATATCCTTTCTTTTTTGGGTCCTGTTTGGGAAAGAGAGTTGATGACCCAACTTAAAGAATTACGAACGTTTATAAGTTATAAAACTGACGTGTGATGATACACGCAGAGTCTGCAGTTTGTTCACTTCACACCGTGTCGTTTCTTACGAACGATTTTCATTTACATGTATACTACATAAAATACCATAACACTTTAAAAAAATTTACACTGCCATGCATGGGGTCTTGTGTGTATTTGATACCTTACAGTATGTCCTTCTATGTATGTATAATATATCTGTGTATATGCATATTGATGTATGCACGTGCATGGGTGTTTTTTTCTTTCTTTCATAAAACAATCAGATTTCTGTTTTATCTCTTCGATGTTGCTAATTGCGTCGTCGTCGTCGTTGTTGTTATAGTTGTTGTTGTTGTTGTTGATTATGTTGCTGCTGCTGTCGTTGCTGCTACCCCTGCTTACGGCCTGCAGGTAAGAGTGCTGACGACGGAGTTGCAGGAAGTAAGTACTACTGGTTTATGTTCTACGTACTCTCTCTCTCTCTCTCTCTCTCTCTCTCTCTCTCTCTC